TCCAACACCTAATATTCTGTGATTCTGTGAATTTAAAACCTGAATGAAGCCTGAACTCCAGCTCAAAGGATCCTGCTTTAAAAGCCCAACTACACTGGAAACTACATCCTTAACTGTAGCAGTGTAACTGAATTGTTTCCACAAAAGGCAGCAGAAATACAAATGAAAAATATGTGGGGTTTAGAGCTTATGCAACTCCAGCATCATAAAATATGCTTAGAAAACATTGCCTTTTACTTAATAATCTCATAGCCTAAATGTTTGAATATGCAACACCACCACACACTAACAGAGTATTTAAAAAATAAATCACACCAGTCAATTTTTATTTTCATTGGCTCTCTCTTGATTTCTCCAGAAATAAGCAAAATAGAAATAAACAGATCTGGAAGCACACAGCATTTTTCTTGCCAGCACTGGACTGCCATGTACTTATGCTAGCTTCCAAGGAATAAAAATTTTCAACTCTTCTGCAGCCAAACAGAATGCACTGCACAGAAAAATACACTTAGAACCTATGTTCTTTATACTGGTTTTGGATTACATCTTTTTTTTTTTTTGTAATTGCATAAAAAGTCAAAAATGCCTGATCTTTTCTTCTGAGAAAAAGCCAGCATGACAAGCGCATGGACAAAAGAATCTCTCTAGAATAAATTCCAAGTTGATTAAGTCTGAAGCAAAAAAAAATCTCCCGATCGCACTCTAAAATGTTAGAATGATCTCTGCTCTTATTCCTTCTCAGGGTCCATGGGAAAAGGAAGCAGTTTCACAGGCATTCTCCCATTTTCACTGAAGTTTAAAAGAGGATATTGGTTTAACACTTGATCATAATCTCCTAGGTCTGAATTCACCTATACTTAATTAGATCTGAATGCAATGGAGAACAGTAAGACATGAGATACTTATCCCTGCTACTATTTACTGTGAGACAAGACATGCGTGTCAGCACCACTCCCTACTTTTTTCCAGACATCTGACCAAAGTATCCCACGCTAAGATGTCCTCCTCTTAAGATGTACAAAAGCTTTCCACTGTCATCTGTGTTGCTGTGGGAATAAACCAAGCTATTTTCATCCCCCTTGCATTTTTAAAATTACCAGGTAAAAGTATATGGACAAGCAAATGAAAAACTTACGGCATCGTGAACATACTACGATGTTAATTTACAACAGGTTGATATTTTGCAGAATTTCTGGCAGCCCTTTTACACCAAATGGCAGCTCTTTATTTTTAGCACATATTAACTGAGTAGGGAAGGTGAAAGAATGCGGGGGAGTGATCACCCATCTGCACAAACTCCTAGCATTAATTAAAAACCATTCGATGCCGTTTGCCAACAAATTCACCAGGCTGTCAGTGGTTTTTTGGCACCATTTTTGACTTTTTAAAAGTCCAAACAATTTAGAAACTTATTTTTTCCCCAGCAATTCCAATTTTAAATGAGGTTTGAAGTTCTAGCCCAGTCCAAGGCATCAATTTTGTACTGTCTTCTGCTGTTGTGAACTGCTTCCCACCCCACTCTCTCCAGCAGCTACTGAAGCCTCGTTGGGCCACTAGAGCCCAGCCTGTTGGAGCAAATCCCCATGCACATTTAATACTTCATTGCAGGTGTTTTTCCTTCACAGTAAACTTCTACTGTTTAACTCCTCATTAAAAGGCATGGCAGCATGAAACGTTTCAGAAGTGAGGCACGTTTGCAATGTTATATGCGGCTATCATCACTGTGGGAAATCCACGTCAGCGCAGGCAAGGCCAACACTAACATAAGCAAGCACCCCGTAGGAAAAGGAAGAGATGCTGTTTCCTCTGATATGGTACATGAAGATAACAATGATGCATCCACAACCAAAAGCTACCAAGGGCTCAGAAGAGCTGTTTGTTCATGCGTGTACCGTGGTACAATCCAGAGCTCACAAAATGAGCCACAGAAACAACCCTAGGGAAGAAGGCACAGCAAAATGGGAACATATCAAACATCCTCTGATATTAGCAACTGCTGTGCCACAGCCACTTCCAGCAGAAAGTGACTACCATCAAGGCTAGCTGAAATCAGAGGAATAATGAAAAACAAGAAGAGGTGCAGCCAACAATCCGAGCTTTATCATCACACGTCTGTGGCCCTAAGGGCCTCATGTCAGGAAGCAAAGTTAATAAAAAAAGCAGCCAGCTGTCTTGTAATTTATTTTTTTTAATCCTCAAAATGGTCAGAAAAGTGATGTGCACATGTGGCATGTCTCATTAATACTCATCATGTGTGCATTCGTGCATCACACAGACGAGATAGATCTAACTCTGCCATATGCCTGCTCCTCCTTTCAGACTGTGGGTATAATATATACACATTCAACGCATGCTGATATTTTGCCACACTATAGATCTCATAATATTCATTGCTATCCTCAAAAACAGTGCTCCAAGAACACTATGTAAGAAATAGGTTATCATATGATTTACCTTCCTACTTTGCTTGTGTCTACATTTCCCTTATTTACATTAACTGTGTGTCTTTGGGGGTTTTGCCTCCTCTGCCATGACAAAAGGATGACACGGGAAATTGGGGGAAAAAAATCTTGTTCACTACCAAAGAAAAAATGTTTTGAAAACAGAAGAACAACATTAAACATTATGAACTCAACAGCCTTAGCAAACCAACATAGAAAAGAGCTATGAAAAACTGAGGAATATAAGAAAAACAAAACCAAAAATGAACTGTATATAACTCCAGAGATACTAAGAAGTGACAGGTATAAATGATTCACAAACAAAATTATGAAACTTTTGTCCTATTTTATATTTGCCCTATTGTAGCTACTCAGCAGCCGTATTAGCAACAGATCACAGGATTGCTCAGTCTTAAAAATGTAAGTATTTTTAAATACTATGAATTGTTCCAAAGGAAGCAGAAAAGACTGTATGGAAAAAGCCTTATTTTGTAAGAAAGTGATAGTAAAAATATATTTTGATTAGTATGTAAGATCAAAAGGGATTGCACATTAACTCTTCAGAATATCAAAATGCCCATGAGAAGAATCTCCTGCACAGCTACTTCATGTGCAAGTGTAATTCTCTGGTCATTCCAAACTTCTTCTTATTTGTGGAGGGAGTAAGGCAGAATAAGCTGCTCTAATCTGTGGCAAATGGGTAATAAAATCTTTATTTCCCTTCCCCCCCGCCCCCTCCCCTAGACCACCTTTGTGGAAGGAAAGGCTATTCTGTATCTTTACAAAAATCTACTTGATTATTAAGTCCCATGAGAAGGTTTCACTGGAATGTAGGACTATTAAAAATGAGGCATTTCCTGCTTCTAGAACATCTACCCCATTTCCAGAACTCTAAGGACTCATGGGAAGTTTCTCAGACACTGTAACTTCTCTGGTCATATCAGTACGGATAAGCTCATACCAATACTGGTTCCAGGACCAGAAGGAGGCACAGAAGGTTAAACTGCTGAACTGATGAGCACAGACAAGAACAGTGATACATTAAAGACTCTTAATTTATTTACTTTTTTTTTTTTTAAAAAAACTCCCAAGTAATTACATGGAATCCAATCCACAAAGCAGTAATTTCAGTACGTATCTCCTTCATCCAGAAAACTGACAACATGGTTCCTCAAACACTTCATGCTCCCTGACTTAACGTACATGTAGGATGCATACACAATGTATGGTTGCTTTGAAAGACAAAAAAAATAAGGAAAAGTTTTGGCGTCTTTTTCTTCTTTTTTCTTTCCCATCCTCGAGAGCCCATACCCTACCCCTAAAATACCTGATGTGATTACTTCATGTGAAAGCCTGCCTAGCAGGAGACAGCACTCCATAGCTCTCCAGAACCACACCTTTACAAAGAGGCAAACTTTATTGTCCACAAGGGCAAAGCAAGCTCATTGAAACCACACACATGCACAGACACACAAAAGGATGAGAAGAAAAAAGAATTTAAAATTATAAGAGAGATACAGTTTCCATACCCTGGTAAGGTCCATGCCAAGTTTGAGCTGAGAGATGAGATGGAGAATTACACTACGTTGATCATCCAGGACTCCTAAATCCTCCTCTTCATTATCCTCAGTATCTGTCATTTCGTCTTCAACTAGGATCAACTCAGAAGCTGAATGCTGAAATGAAAAGAAACATCACCATCTGGACAAAAAGATACAGTATGGGTTTTTCCCCTATATATATTACAAAATGTAGCTCTCTCAAGGGAACCAAAGACAGCTTCTGTTAAAGCCAAGTAAAGATACAAATTTAAAATAAAAAAATCCGGTGACGGGTTCAGAGCATTTTGATCCTGTCCTCAAAACAAGAGTGGTAAGCACTCGATGCTAATTTACACATTATCTCCTCATATTTATATTGCAGTGATGCCAGTCAAAAATCACAGCATATTAAAGTAACAGATCTTCTATTTATTAAGTAAAAGTACACAGCTGAAAATGAGTCTTCCAGAGTTTGTTTCATGAATCTCTCCAGCAATATTCACACTTCACACCTAGATGTTGCATGACCTGAATTCACACTATTTTTCTCCTTTCCTCTAGTCAACTTCCAAGTTATAGACCTAAGAAAGTCATGACTATTAATTGAAGGAGATAAAAAGAAGACTATACCTGAAGTACACACCTTTGAAAAAACAAACCAAAGACATTAGATTTTGGGGGGGGTCAGGCAATGCCGTGAGTCTTTACAACTTCTACAACATTACCCTGCTTCACAGCACAATAATGCCAATACTGCTGGCTTTCCAGATGTAGGAGCTGGAGATCAAGAGAGACATCCTGGCATCTCCTTTCAAGAGGAACTTTAGAGCAGAAAGGGATAATGATTTGTGATACTTTCTTTTCCCTCAGGATTTACCATGTATTACTAACAATAATCCAAACAGGTAGCAGTTATTTTGTTCAGTCCACTGAAACTGCTCTGCAAGCCTTCCAGATACATATTCAGGTAAGGTTTTTGTACTTTAAAAAAAAAGTTGGCTTATATAGTGAAAAATTTATGGCTCAGCATTTTACTATTCCTCAAGGTTTCCATGCTGTAAATGAGATAACACTGCCTGCAGAAGTTAGCTTTCCTTCATGCTAAATAGTATTTTTGCAGAAACATCTAGTTTGTTACATGAGAATTTTTTCATCTCACTGTGAAAGTCTTTGCAACTGAAAAGTTTAATTAAAACCAGCTGATATTCAGAATTAGGTTTCAAATAAATATTTCTGACTGATCCCATTAGAAACCCCTCAGGTGAACAGCACCTTGTGTAAGGAAAATGTGTCTGAAATCTAGTTACTACCGATTTCTCCAAGATTTCAATAAAGCCTTTTCTCTTTCGCTTTTTTTTATTAAACAAACATTTAGGGAGCTATTTCCAAAAGAAAAGCTATCTGGTGAAATCCAGGGACATTTGAAAGACACTTTATTTAGAAACTAGAATACGTAGATTACATAAAACAGAATCTGGTGAGCTGTAACCTCACCAGCTTGGAGTTTTTCAAAAGGACAAAACCACACTTTCTTCTTCCCACTCCCCCCAGAAAATAAAAGGATAGAACAATAAGCCCTTGCCTTCCCAAAATGCACAGCATTATTATCCAACTGAAGCCTTACTGACAAGTTCAATTAACATAAAACCTGGCAACCTCACTCAAAATTATCCGTCAGGGAGACGTAAAGCACAGAAGCCTGGCTCAGCTGCTCAGGCTAGGATGTATTTGGAGGGAGTGTGGAAAAAGCGGTATCAGAACTTACAGGAGATGCTTCCACAGGAGGTTTCCCTTTGATCCAGCTTGACCTCATTGAGAGCACTGCGCTACCGAGTAAGCACTGCCGCTTCTGCTACTGCCATGAACCGAGCTGGCAGCAAACAAGCTCCAGCAGGAATTAATAGCACTGGGAAAAAAAAAAAAGCGAGGGAACCTCAAAAACCGCCCCTCACCTCTTTTTTTTTTTTTTTTTTTTTTTTTTTTTTTTTTTTTTTTTTTGACTATCCAAGGAGTTGGAGAGTGCGCGCCGGATGTCAATCTGCTCCTTGCGTTTCTCATCACATGGCACTGAGATCAGCGAGCTTAACTGCACACAGCTCCAGCTGGGAAACGGGGCTGCTGCTTCCCAAAGGATACCCTGGTGGGCTGTCCTCTCGGTGGGGTCAAGACGGAGAGGGCACGAGTGACAGAGAGAGGACATGCTGACACGTAACAGGCTTTCAACCTTTAGTTATTAACAGCATCAGCAAAGAAACAAACTGCACATCGACAAGTTCACAGACTAAATCGTACATTAAGAATCTTCTTTTTCTCCTAAAGATGTGCATTCAGTCAAGGACAGAAATCCTCCTTTCTTTCCTGGTAAAATAGGCTTTAGATTTTCTATGCCTTTCAAAGTGTTACCAAAAAAACAGCAACTGCCTCTCATTGCTACTTTAGGAAACGTGAGGGGAACCAACCCTATGAACAGCTCAGCTGCACAGGAAAGCAGTGTTTGCATTGATTTAAATGAAAGACTTTCTGCTTATCAGAGAGGATAAGTACGATGTAGCATTTGGATCAAGCATGTTTAATGACCATCTGCAATAAGGATCATAATTTTAATTATCTTAACTATCTCCTATTTTAAGAACGTGTGCAAAGGCATCAAAAAGATCTCACAACTCTACTACTAGAGTTATTAACACACTTGTGACATTCAGTGTGTGCAGAATGACATCGGTTGTCTGCATCTTTTCTCACTTTCCAAGAAAATAAGAACTTAAGTAGTTTACAACTTATGTAACAGGAACTGAACAGCAGCCATCCTCAGTAAGCAATATCCTTTCTGCACTTTCTTCTCTTCTCATTAGCTGTTCTATGTAATTACTGCTTTACTTTTCAAAAGCACAGAAAATAGAAGATTTTGTTTTAAGAAATGCATATTTTCCTTAAAAAAAAAAAACAGGTAAGCACAACATAGGGTGTGTGGACAGAGAGCCACAAAATACAAAGCTACTGTATCTTTAAAGGGTCATAGAAGTCCAATAAGGTTTTTAATTCTTTTTCTTTCCACAGAAATAGTATGCAGTTTAGCAGTAACCAGTGCATAAGCATGCAATGATAAGCAAAAGATTATGTTGTGTGATTATCCTTTAATGGCAGCTTTTCTGCATTGTAAGACACAGACGTACATTCCCCGCCCCCGGTAAAATAGCATTGCAAAGTCCAACTAGAAAAGCAGTGATTTGCTCCATTCCTGTGAGGTCAGAGCATAATGTAAAAGCTATTGAGCTGTGTGCAGCTCAGCTGGGAATGAATAGCACAGCTTGGCTTGGGTGCTAACCCTGAGAATCAAACACTGAACCACTTACAAACAAGGACCAAAAAGGGGCTTATATTTAAAATCAGTTTAATCAAAATGGCTTTCCCACACTGGATTTTTCAGAAAGATCTGAATGGAAAACAATAGATCGTTTCTAGAAATCCCATGCAGAGATTCACTTTGACGTCTAGAAGCTGAACACATAAAAACACACACTGGCAGAAATCTATTTTGAAGAGGTCACTTCATTAGAACTGGGATCGATTAATTTAGAGAGGTCATCTGCTGGGATACGAAATGGATGTTCTAGTCAGCAGTCTTCATCAGCAAACACGCTGATTCTTTATAGCACATGAAACCTGCAAGGGAAAAAAACTGCTTCTGAAGGAAACATTCTGCATTTTCAAAAAAAGTCCTCAGGAGAAAGACACTTCAACAAGCCTAGCATAGAATCACAGAGTTAAAAGCTATGTTTCGGTCAAAGGGCAAATCTGCCTCTGTTCTTCCAAAGCCTCTTCACAAGTGAATTTTTCAAATTAACTGCTGTGCTGGAAATCACTTTTTAGATAATGAATTCAGTTATAAGGCTCAGAGCTTGGTTTTCCAATATACTTCATAAATCATATCATGCAACAATATCATCAAGAATGATATGGATCTCCTCTGGTTTATTTGTTGGGGTGGGTGGGGACAGCGAACAGAATATCCAGAATCCCCATCATTTAAGTTGGAATGGGCCTCTTGAGATCATCTTGTCCCACATCCTGCTCAAGCAAAGACATCTAAAGCCAGTTGCCGAGGACCAAGCTCAGCCAGGTTTTTAATATCTCTAAGGATGGAGACTCCACAACCTCTCTGGGCAACCTGGGCCAGTGTTCGATCATCCTCACAGAGAAAAAGCCTTTTCTGATGTTCTGATTGACTTTCATGTGCCCATTGCCTCTTGTCCTGTCGCTGGGCACTACTGACAAGAATCTGGCTCCTTGTTCTTCACTCCTTCCCATCAGGTATTTATGTGTGTTGGTGGGCTTCCCTGAACTTTCTCTTCTCCAGCCTGAACAGTCTCAGCTCTCTCAGCTTCTCTTCATGTGAAGGATGCTCCAGAATCTCCCTCATCTTTGTGGATCTGTGCTGGACTCACTCCAGTACATCTAAGTCTGTCACTGAGGAGCCCAGAACTGCACACAGCACCCCAGATGTGGCCTCACCTGTGCCAAGCAGAGGGGAAAGATCCCAGTATGCTGGCAACACTTTTCCTAAAGCAGCCCAGGATGCTGTTGGCTGCCTTTGCCCCAAGGGTGAATTTTCAGCTCACAGTCAACTTGTTGTCCACCAAGATCTTCTCTGCAGGACTACTTTCCAGCCAGTTGGCCTCCAGCCTGTACTGGAGCATAGGCTTACCCTCAGATATCTCTGGATGCAGGAACTTCCTAGTGTTGAATGTGATGAAATTTTTCTTTGTTAAGCATGATTTCCCCTTTGTAAATCCATGCTGACAACTCCTGATCATAGGAGTTCTTGTCCTTCATGTGTTTGGAAATGCTTTCCAAGGTTAGTTGCTCCATCACCTTTCAAAGTATCATGGAGAGGTTGACAACCTGCAGCTCCCCAGATGTTACCAGGATATCCCTAGATGTTCCTTCTTGCACTTCTTGAAGATAGGAATGACATTTGCTTTCTTCTAGTCTTCACGAACCTCTCCCAAGCACCATGACCCCTTTAAAGACAATAGATGGTGGCCTTGCAATGACATTGGCCTACTCCCTTCATGCTCAGAGGTGAATCCCATCAGGCCCCCTCAAGTTATCACAGAATCACAGAATGTTAGGGA